CCAAATAATTATTTTCACAATCCCCCTGTTGGCAGAGAAAGGGACAAGGGGCGGAAATTGTAAAGAACCAGAAAGAAATTAAAGCCAAATTTCTTAGTTAAGTCCCATCCCTAAGTATCATGATTGGGTTGACAAGGCCAGACCATCACCGTCTTTATCAGCACATGGTTATTAAGCTTTCTTATTGTAGAAACTATCCTCAAATTTCAACTTCTCCTAAACAGAGATGTCATTGATTTGAACCTTTTGAGGGCATTCCCTCACTACAAGTGAAAATTTCAACTTCTAAGCAGAGGTGTCATTGATCTGAGTCTTTTGAGTGCATTTCCTCACAATGAGTGAAATTGCTTCAGTGCACCTACTGTTTATGACGTTTCAAATTGAAAGACTCAGATTTCATTTTATACATTATATACTAAAACTTAGCCATTTTATCAAGTATAAATTGTAATTCTTGTTTCCAAATATTTGAAATATGAAGTTCTTGGTAGGGGTTGTCAAAATCCTTAAAATCATAAAGGCTTAACTTGCGTGACAATAGGGGACTCAAATCTCAAATTGCATCTTAACGATCACAATTGGAGATCATTACCTCAGACCATATAATCCCTTTTATTAGATAGTATCCACCTTAATGGTTTTCCAGAATATTCATATTATGCAATCAAACCCTAAAGAGAATTATAAACCTTAAAATGTGGAAATTGCAGAAGTTCCAACCTGGGCTTTAGGGTTGTGTGAGAGGCAATGTCCCTTGAAGAGTATTTTTGGGAGGGGCTGAAAATTCGAGTACCACCTTGTTCATTACCACCTTTTGCAGGTGCCCATGTAGGTCGAGCTACAGTTGTCATGTTTTGTAACAATCCTCACGAGTCCGGATATCTGTAAAAGTCAAAGCAGCTATTTAAAATCCGATTAAAGAATACCTCTACAAGCAACAAGAAAGGCAAAACGTAAGACACCAAAGCAGTATCAAGAGCAACAGTAAAGCACACAACCTCATTCGATGACTCTATGCAATCTAATATTTCTATCAAGCATAAGATCTATTACAAGGTGCTAAATCTATCACACCCAACAAGTTCCTGCCCCTCTCTCCTTTTCAATGAAAGAATAAATCTATATCTATATCTATTCTACTATAAAATGTCTTTAGAAGGGTAAAACATTTTTAGGACAGGATCATCGCTACTATGGTAAATAATGGTCATAGCATTTTGCAACTCACAACTTTAAAAACCTTTTCTAGACATTTAAAAATCTAAGCATTTTTTTATTATAAAAAAATTATTGATATGGTCAAAACCTGCAATCCCACACAGTTAACATTATAAATTTTTGCACAGAAATATTCAAAACATGTGATATGGCCACCAAGTACAATCCTACTATGTTACCTTTATGTAGAGAACTCATTGAGGCATTTCATCAAACAAGAAACAAACATGTTTCTTGTTGAAACAATATATCCAAACAATGAATCTAGTTCGTAAATAATGACTGTTCATGTTTCTGTTTGCTGTTGAATAAAGATTTCAAGTTATATCTTGATTTAACTGTTTTAAGTAAAAATTCTCCATACCAAGATCTGAAAATATTGCCATAATCAAAATAGTCTAGAGGTGGCAAATGGGCGTGTTTGGGCAGGTTGAAATGGGTAATGGATCAAAAGAGTGTTAGCCCAAAATCATCCATTTAGATAGCGGGTTGGATATGGGTGGGTCGGATACGGTCACTCTTTGGTTCAACTCAAGACGCAAGCAATGGAATTTACGGGTTATTACCTTTTTTGGTTGGGTGTCCAATGGGTTAACTTAGGCCTTGTTGGGAAAATGGCTAAATGTCAAAAGTCAACTTTTAATCTATTTTTGATCATATCATCTCTCTATTTTTTTATATATTTCTTAATTTTTTTTTTAAAAAGTCAAAAAATCAGTTTTTAACCAACTTCCCAAAAACCCATTTAAGCCCAAATAAAAACAAGTATATTTGTAATAGGTCCTTCCCAAAAAATAGAGATGTAGCATCTATTTCAGGTTTCTATCCTAAGTGGCATACCAATTTCCTTAATTTCATGAGCGTCAATTTCTGAAAGCACATGCACAAATACCTTCTGGCTTTTCTGAGTAGCATTCTGCAAACATATCCAATTGTCTTCATAAATGTACATTTCTATAGAAATCATGACTTATAATGAACTATTAGCTTTGAAACTTCAAAACAATTCATAAAATACACAGCCCAGTGCAATCATTACTACATATTATGAGGAAGAACACTATCAATTGATTAGAGAACATAGTTGCCAGAAAATGGATATAAGAGCATGCCTGGAGATTCAGTATGACTTGGCGAAAATTGCAACTTCCTCTGCTGGATTGCCCGTCATCAAGCATGTCTTACTTCTGCCTTCGGGCTGTTCAAAAGGAAAACACCGAATTGTTGCCCCTGTTTCTTCTTTCACCCTCAACTCATCTTTGTCACTGTGCCACCAAATGTGTAGTGATCTTAGAAGTACACAATTGCATTATGATAAACATAAACATTAACCCTAAAAACCAAACCAAACTAAGCTTTGTGCTCATGTGGGGTCCCCTACATTGAATTCATTTTTGTCATTCTGCTCTATCACCATATTGGTATTTCAAGTTCATAAGGATCTGATAGATTTTTACATGTTGTCTGTGTAAAAGACACTAAGCACACCAACCCTATAAACCCCATATATACATGGTCAAAAAACTAAGAGGCAAATAAACAAACAATTACCTTGCAGACCACGGACCCCTTGCCCATTTCCCCTGACTAATTGCATCTTTCAACTCATTATATGAGTTCACATCCACAATGTTACTGCAGAAGAATTATAAATGTGCTAAGGGTATTATCCGGACAATATACCAAAATTCAACAGATACAAAGCAAGGAAAACAAACTATCAAACACAGCAGAAAGGCAAGGATTTGGTGAACAAATTCAAATGACTAAAAGATGGGAAGCAAGAATACAAACTGTCCAATACAAAGAAGAAAGGCAAGCAGTCAGTGTACCACGCTTAAGGAAACACAATTTTGACTTCAAAACTCGTATGTGCTGACTACATATATCCATTATGTAATCAAGCAAGTATATGATCCAATCTAACTAGATCTAAAGCTAGCAATAACTTCAAGTTTACAAGTAAGCATAAAGATTCTAACATAACACTTGAGGTATTTAAAATCTGTTAAAGCAGGAAAAGGAAAAAGAAAAAAGATAAATGGACATTATGTGAAAACAACAAACAGAGAAATATACAAATTATGACTTAAAAGGAGAAGAAAGAGAAAGCCACCTTATTGGTAGACAGAAAGTATTAGAATACCTTGCTGAAGTACCGGTGAAGCAGGATCTCCTTTAGCAAACCAAACATGCCATAAAAATATAATAAACTTGACATCACCTAGAGATTAGATGTAAAATGGATTTAGTACTAGAAACCTTCACCTGGATTTTTTTACAGCAATAGACTTCCCTAATAGTGGAAAAATGTTTGGGTAAAGCATGCTTCCACTCCACACATTTTTACATGAAGATTGGGTTTTTATGTATTGTATTTGGTGCGACGTATGATTTGCTTGTTATTGAAAGTTATAGTCAATAAAAATCCTGGAAATGAGCCCATGATGAGCAAGACTCTAAACCATTTACAGCTAAGAAGGGAACACTGCCAAGATCAACCCCACCCTAGTTGAAACCCAAAGGCCCTCAACACAGCCATAACAATGATGCAAATTGCAATAGGCCATTTTTAAAAATATTATTTATATGTAGGAAAAAGAAAAATTGGTAAGAGGGTAACAAGGGAAAGGGAAGTAGTTCTAACAAAACGACTCGAACCAGACATCACACTTGATATAATTAAAAAAAAAAAAAACACCTTATCCATTAGACGAACAATTATAGATCATTTATAATTACCATTTGCTTACAAATTCTTTCATGCCAATTTGTATCTATGCTCTAGAAATATTTTCTCCAAATTCTTCCCTAGGGCGCAGCCTAACTTCCTCTCATAGATGTTTAAAATAAAAATTAAAATAAAAAACTAATTTATGAAAATTCAAATTTAATCTTGTCCAAAACAATCATCTTTTCCCCAAATTAAGATAAAAATCCAGTCCAACTAGTGGTGAGAGAACCTAGTAGGCAATAGGATTGCCACCACTGTAAATGGACAAATATGAATAGGGATATTAGAACAGGGAGCGGAGGGGGCTAAAATCACATTCCATTATGTTGTGAGGGCCCACATGTATGGGGGCTATACTGTCATTGGAATTATAGATTGAGCATTTAAACTTCTTTCTCCAAATTTTTTTTTTTAATTTTTAATTTTTATTTTTAAATTGTTGGTGGGGCAAATGGGATGTTGAGGGAGTTACCTTAGCTCGGTGGCCTAATGTTTCACAAAAAAATATATATATATATTAAAAATTCTTATTGTCCAAAGTCCCAATTGTTCAAAAACTAGAAAGATAAGCTCAAATTTTGATTTTTTAGATAAAGTCTCAAAAAATCATAGGCTGCTAGCCTGCTACCATCTGTAACTTCCTATTGTAATTTCAAAATTAACCAAATTTGTTATGCAAATGCAGAAGGTGAAATCACATTAGCAGTTACATATGCAAATAATCAACATGAAACAATCTCTAGGGGAAGTGATATGGAAGGGGCTAGTTTGGAGCTTTGGTATATAATCTATATTTTCATTTTCTTTCTTTCTTTCGAATTGGAATTTCCTACAGAAGACAAAACCCAAAAGTTGTGACTTATTAGTGAGACATAGGTTGAAAAGAAAAGAATAAAGTCTCCTATTTTAGATGATCCACATTCCCCAAAACACAATTATAGTACATTAAAAATGCTGTCAAGTAAAGAGCAAACATATATTTGATTCTAACACTAGCAATAACAAAATCAAGAAACAGGACTTGATCTGTTTTGCTTATTATTCATCCTTGTCAGAGGCATAATAAAGTGAACATAATATTTATTCTAAAAGGAGATTAAACAACAAACCATTTCTTGATTTCAATCTTTTAATCCATAAAAAGTAATGACACTTAACAGGAAGAGCATGGGATCTAATATAAAAAATTATATTGACAAATAAACTAATTAAATAATGATTGCAACTGCTAATCAATGAAAAGTTTAATTGATTAATAAAGTAACAGTCATGCTGTGTTAAAAGAAAAATGAATATATATATATATATAAGAAAATGAAAGATATCCCTAAAGTCTCTAGATGATTGAGAGCATTTGCCAATGACGATAAGTGCTCAGAAGAAACAACAAAAGTTGATGAAAATAGATAAAACTCTGCTGCCACATTCAGATTACAAATAACAAAAAAATAATTCAAAAACATTAACATTACACTACTAATCAAAAACATAAATAATAATAAAAAATCCTAAATAATTACAGATCTAAACAAAAACTTACAGAGAGAGATCTGAACGAAAACTTACAGATCTGAACGAAAGCAATCAATCGATCAAATTCAGAGAGAGAGAGTGTGTGTTCAATATCGATCAATAGACTAAAAATCAATTGATCGATCGATCGGTCTGTGTTCTCTTTAACATAAATTAGTGCGTATATATATATATATATATCACATAGATCAAAGATCGTAGATACAGATCTGTGTTCGTATATAAACAAAATCAAAAAAATCAGAGAATGAGACTCACAAAATTAATCTTCAAATCGGACTGATCGAGAGCTTTGAGCCAAGATGGAGAGAGGTGGATAGAGAGATCGTAAATCAGAGCCTACGATGCTCGATCTAGTTTCACCATAAGAAAGAGAAGAGTGATGAAGAGACAGAACCCTAGATCTATCTTGGGACTCTGAGAAATGAACAAAATGAAAAAAGCGTGGGCCTTAAAAAATGGGATATATGTTAGTAAGTAGGATGCGTGTTTTTTAAAATGAGTTGTCTGCAAAGTATTTTAAAAATCTTTGAAACGGCGTTTTTTGAAAAAATGCCATAACAAAAACGTGGTTATAGGCCAATTTTCTTGTAGTGAGATGGCACTTGTGCATATTTACATGTGTGCAAATCTAAGAAATGGCATGCAGTTCTGCGTATTTAATGCCCAATTTGATGTTGGCGAGCCTCTTCTAGTCCTCCTTCAACAAGCTCTTTGATTCATACTCTTTATCTTCTTGCATACCATTTCTCTTCAACCTGCTTTCACAAAACATGTAATGACCAAATATTGTTTTGATCACTCGTCTTTTGAAAATCTAGTTCGAAGACATGCATTTAATAAGAAAAAAAAAATAACAAAAGAAAGGTCTAGTCACTCATCACTATTACTCCTTTTTTTTACTAAATAAAAGTGCCAGGAAAAAAATTCAAATAAGAAAAAGCAAACCAAAGAAGAAATGAAATAAGATTCAATGAATAAAATTCAACAAATGCTTCTCCAAATTAAACTCAGGAGTCAAAACTCCATTCTACATCACTTGTGAGTCAAGATTTCACACTTGAACTTAAAAAAAAAGCTATTTTTTATTTGTTTCTTGGGTGATGGAGCCAAGGTTGATATACTAATTTGTATGCAAACAATTAAACAAAAGCTAAATTTGTTCAATAAGGATTGAGAATATGTAAATTTTATACGAAAGGAAATTACAACAATAGTTAAAATTTCAAGTTGACCGGGTTCCTTACCCCCAACTCTCCCATACTTCCAATCCATTTTGTCCATGTATACAAGAGACTAATCAATAATAAGTAACACAATTGGTGGATGGAATATTTTAGTGTATATAGTAGACTAACCAATAAGCTAGCTTCCGATACACATGTTTGACAAATTAATAATAAAAAATATTGCTAAATGTTAAAGTTGGGATGCAAAATACAATTTTCTATGTGGAATCAATTTAAAATTAAAGTAATAAACTTTAAGCATTTGGGAAGAAATAAAACCAATAAATGTTATTTTTCTTAGCAATACCTATTAAATTAAATTGATGAGGTCCAGTAATGCTCTATAGCAACAAAAATCAATGTGGTTGTTGTGTACCTAATGGGTGATGATACATAGTTGTGTTTCTTATGAAACATACAATTGCAGAGAGAAGCTAATCGAAAAAAAGCATTCAAACCTCATATCCATAAAGATAACCCAAAGCATCATGATTCATGAACTTTCAAAGGGTATTACCTAGATTTTCACATGTTACTTAATCAGTAGCAACAGTTTAATAACATCAAAGACAATTCTACATTATTCGTTCACATTGCAACTACTATAAAATTCACCAAAGCCCCATAAAAAAAAAGAAAAAAGAAAAAAAAAGAAAAGAATTTAAATAAATTCTCACACTAAGAACCCCAGGATGGCCTTGAGCACAACCAGAAGAATTTAGCCTATACACTAAAGATTTAGAGGAACTGAGAATAACCACCAACATAGAGGAACTAACACAATGGAGCCATATAATCTTTAAGCAATTCTAGAATATATGTACATCTACCTGCCATTATTGAGCCAATAGAGGAACTAACTTGTGAATGACCCTTATTCAATTGCAGGGAAAAGGTTTGTGAATGACAATTTGATATAATTAATTTTTATATAAAAAAATCAGATATAATTAAAATAGCAAATGGAATAAAAAAATCTACCTCAATATCTTACCATATTGTGACCAGAAGTAACTGGATGAATTTCTTGCAAGAGACTGTCTTTAATTTTAAAAGCATTTGGTTTAGTGTTCAGTTTTAGAGTAAAACCACAACTAAATTTTAGAATCCAAAACTTGTATACAAAAAAATAAAAAATAACAGAATAAAAAAATAGAAGCCAAGTATGAAGGAGAAGATTAAGATTAGGTATAGGAAAACACACCACCAACCTTGGCCAACTATTATGTTTGCTCTATAATCCCTCTTTAAAATCAGTAACTCTCCTTGGTAGCTTCCTTTGATATTCTAAATCAAGAGTTCAAAACTCAAATCTAAAGGTATGTGATAAAACAAAGTAGACAAACACATTTGAGCAAAAGAAAGTACTATTTAAGTACTATATATATTTTCTGTTAGGCTTATTGTTTCTAGGGTAATTCTTTTAGTGAATAAACATAATGCCCGAGTCAAGTTTCCTCATTGAATCTTAAGAGGACATTTTTTTTTTTCCATTCATAGTCGTATGAGTTGGCAAAAGCCAGGAGTACTTTGGCAAGAGAGGTCTTGAATCACAAACCCACCTAACCTTGTACTTAACCACCTTGCTAGTATGTGTCCACACATGCAAGCTAGAATAACCATCGAACTCTTGAACAAAAATACTGGGGCTGGTGTGTGTTTATGTCAAGGGGTACTATGACATTCTTATCTCTATCATCAACATGGAGACATGGGACAATGGAAAACTTAAAGCACCCATACAAATTTTAAAGCAAATATAAGCTTAGAAAAGCCATCCATTTAAAAAGAAAGTTTTAAATTAAAATTGGCTCCCATGGAACACTTTCATATGGCAAGCCATGATGAACAACCTTCAATTGCGAGAGAGAGAGAGAAAACTATACCAAAGTGAATAAGATTATGACAAACTGTGGGGATATATATTCTGAATACCAACACGTGGCAAGGTGACGCCGACGTGTCAGCCGAGGTGTCACGTGTCCTGGTCGTGATGCCGAGGTGATCTCGGCAAGGCCGAGGTTATCTCCAAAGATATCGGAAACCGAGATAAGCGGATAAGGGACAAGAGTCCTAGAATGAAGAGGGAACTCAACTTGGATATGGACAAGAGTCCTAGATTGGGAGAAGACTTCAGTTTGGGTAAAGATAAGACTCTTAGAGAGTTTATCCTAATCTCACTGGGAGTCTCAGGTTAGCAGCAATCCTAAGTCCATTAGGGTGAGGCTCCTATTGGGGCTAGGATTGTATTGGCTATAAAAGAGAGGCACCCCCATGGGTCTAAGGTATGCTTTTGATACTCAAGCTTGTGAGTTTAGTACTTGATTTATCTTTGAGAGATATACTGACTTGATCGTCGGAGTGCCCCCGGGTGGTCGAAACCACCGCGGGATTCTTATATTTCTGTTGCAGGTCAGTCAGGTGCCATCTA